GTTTTCCGAAAAAAAGCACAATCGTGTATTGTCGTTGGTGACGATGTGCAATATTCCTTGTGCTGCGTATAATAATTTTAGTTATCTGAATAAATGTGTCAAATTGATCAAGAAAAACAAATAAAATAGCGCAGTCTACATTTTGCATGTATATCATTTCCATTTAATGTATTTAATATCAAGTTACCCTTAATCAAATACTAGTACATCAGGTGACACTAGGATCTCACATTCACGTGTGAGCGGCCATGCCGTTTGCAGTGTGGCAATGGAACTAACCGTGTAATAAACATGGACATAGTCTATGTGCGGTGTACCTGACCTTTGTGTTATATTGAGAGAATAAACAAAATATAATAGCGATAAACAAAATAATTGACCTAGTATAGGGTTGCACATTGCTAGGTCAACTGAAAAAAACAACAATGGGTCAGTGTTGTGTTGTACAAATAGTTAGTTTGATTTTATTCAATACTTAATGAATATGCAACTTGTGCTAGACAACAAAAATCGCATAATTGAATAAAACCCGCCACATCGAGCGCATGACATGCAACATACTGCAGAAGTCGAAGGTAGGACTACGTCTTTATTACTAGTAGTAGCTTACAAGCATAATCACGCGTACATTCCTTAATACGATGTCAGTTGTATGTGTGAATCTGGTATCTGCTCTTGATACTGTGTGTGTTTGCTAGAATGTTGACGCAGAGTTATTCTCACTGACACGTATCACGTTCGGATACTTGAATACACATGGCCTTTTTGTGAAATGGCTTTACACGCCATTGAAAAGTGAGAACAACATGTGACATTATGAAGATAACTTAACCCCCTCCCCTCCCACCGTTTTTGTAGGCGATCATGGTACACAGAGAAGTACTAAAACCAGTTAATGTTTACTCTCCGAACCTAATCATTGATCTAATTGAGGTGCATATCAAATATTTTGAATTAAACCGATCACTGCATGACATATATGTACCAATTCCAGTTGTGTTCCCTTAGATG